CAAGTAATTGGTAAAATGTTGAAAATTCATTATATTACCTAAAAAAGATACCTGATTTTATTAATCTTGTTATGTTTTTGTTTGTGAAAGCACCTTTGAGCCTCTCTTTTACCTTCTCTCCCCAGCTGTTTTCTTCTAGTCCTCTCACCTCCTCAAAAGTCACCTAATTGTATATGTTAAATTGTTATTTGTAAGTTTGTAATGTTATTGAGAGCCAGCATGGCAGTGGTTTGAGTGTTGGACTGCAACTCTGGAGACCAGGGCTTGATTCCCTGCTCATCCACTGGGTGACCTTGGGCAAGTCACAAGCTCTCAGCCTCAGGAGAAGGCAATGGCAAACCTTCTCTGCACAAATGTTGCCAAGAAGACCCCATAGGGTCACCATAAGTCAAAAACAACTTAAAGGCACACAGCTACAACATTATTGATAATTTAGCCCATTTTTAATGTTGAGGTCTTGTATATATTTTAACTGTGTTGTATTATATTTGTTTAAGTTTGCAAACTATGTTGACACCTGGATTTGGGAAGAAATAAGTAAGGGTAGGCAACCTTTTTGAGCTGGGGGCCGGGTTGCTGTCCCTCAGACAATTGATGGGCCGAAGCACCAAAAATAAATAAATAAATAAATAAATAAAAATTTAAAAAGAATTAAAAAATTTAAAAAAAATGCATGCACACTCTCTCAGCCCCAGAAAAGCCATGGCAAAACCCCTGTGAAGATTTTGCCAAGAAAACCCCAAGAACAAGTAATAACAACAATAATCAATATCATCATGGGGGGCGGCGGCGGTGGGGCCGGGCCTTAGGTTGCCTACCCCTGAAATAAGTTGTTAAATAAGATAAGAACAACTACAACAACAACTATGGTTTCAGAGGTGAAAGGTTCCCTGGGAGCAATTCCAAATATACAGGCAAAGCACCTGATCTGAATGAAATTGCCATAGACAAGATCAAAAAAGTGGCATTACTTGAAACAAGCCTATTTATCCTAGATTCTTGAAGTCAATGTGAATCACATTTCAAAACCTGTCAGCAACAGCAGTTAAACTGTGAAATGAAATGATAATGATGATAAGTTATATTTTAAATAAGAATAATAACTAATAATCAGTAATTATAATACAACATTTGATACTTAATCTACTCCCTCCATGTCCATTTATTTTCTCTCCAATCTCTCTCTTGCCTCTTGCCCTTGTCTGGCCATTCATCCTTCCTTTCTCACACAAGCTGCCACTTCCTTCCCATGAGGATACCAGGGGTAGGCAATCTTTCCCCTTTAAGGGCCGAGGGACTTCAGCTCCCAGAAGCCTCAGCCACGTTAGCCAATAGTCCCATGTTGGCCAATAGCTCCTGGGATTCTGGGAGCTGAAGTCCCTTGGCTCTTAAAGGGGAAAGTTTGCCTACCCCTGTGCTATACCATTGTTGCTCCTTCCTCTGCTGCCCATTGTGTTTTGGGGCATTTGATGCAGCCATTGCCATTGCCACCACCACAAACCACAGAATGAAACTCTAGGGAAGACAGTGGGGGAGTGATGAAAGCAAGGGTTGTGGAGTGAAGTAACAGGTATATTGCTACTTCAAAATTATATCCAGTTTCAATGAGAAAAAAGGTATTTTCTGGTGTAAATTTCTCACATAAAGTTGTTAACGTATTTAACAGCAACACATTCATTTTGCTCTACTACCTGTCCTGGTTCACCAAACACCCACACTGGCTGGCTGGGAAGGAACTACCAACTGATAATGCAGGCAGAGACAGTGAGTTACAAACAGCTTGAAAATGTCCTTGCCTGTGAGAGTCTATCAAGAGAAAGGTGTTGGTCAAGCAGTCCAAGTCAAGGAAGGCAACAGGAGTCAAGGTCAACACGGTTCAAACGTCAAAGAAGCCAGGAAGTCTGAAGTAGGAATGCAGGAGTCTCGAAACAGGTGTCAAGGACAGGAATGCTGACCAGGAAACAGACAAGTTGCTTCCAACAACTCCTTAGGCAAACTTAGGGCCTAAGCAGACTGCCAGAAATAGTGCACATTAAATTGAGGCACTGCCCTGGCTCAGTGCTAGGGAGTCATGGGAATTGTATTTTTTTCTGGGACATTGAGCCTTCTCTGTCAGAGAGCTCTGGTGCTACAATTAATTACAGTTCCCATGATTCCCTAGCACTGAGCCAAGGCAGTGCCTCAATTTAATGTGCACTATTTCTGGCAGTCTGCAAAGGCCCTTAGATCTTAAACACCAGATGATTATCAGAGCTTGCTTGCTGCTTAGGCTGTAGCCTGGTTGAGCATCTTAGCTCTATCTTTTGTTGGATCCTTTTGTTCCTCCTCCTTGATTGAGGACTTAAGGCCCCAGCTGTGTCCTCTTTCTCATCAGCAGGTAAGTCTTGCTGTAATTCCACAGGATGAGCTGGTTGAGGCTCTTCAGCAGGGAGAGCTGGTTGGGATTGCTCTGCAACAGGGAGAGCTGCAAGCTGTTCCCTGTCTGGAAGACTTGCCTGGGTCCTTTCCTCAGCCTCCTCATTGGACTCTTCCCCTAGGTCCCATTTCTGCAGTTCCTGGCCCATGGCACTACTATTCATTACTTCCATGGGCTTGCTATAAAAAGTCATAGGACGTTATCACACGTGGGCCAGAAAGTGATAATAAAGTG